TAGTTTCTGTTCTGTGGATGCTTCTATCTGCAATTTTCATAAAATTGAGCGATAATTCTTCAGAAAATGCAAAAAACTCCTAAGTCTGAAATTCTTTTTGACTATAAGGTCCACAGATTCGGAAAGTACTCCTCGAGACCTTTCATTTGTGCTTAGCCTCGACACCGCTTCATTTTTAGCTTCTGTTCTGTGGACGCTTTTATCTGCAATTTCCATAAAATTGAGCGATAATTCTTGAGAAAATGCAAAAAACTCCTAAGTCTGAAATTCTTTTTGACTATAAGGTCCACAGATTCGGAAAGTACTCCTCGAGACCTTTCATTTGTGCCCAGCCTCGACACCGCTTCATTTTTAGTTTCTGTTCTGTGGATGCTTCTATCTGCAATTTCCATAAAATTGAGCGATAATTCTTCAGAAAATGCAAAAAATTCCTAATTCTGAAATTCTTTTTGACTATAAGGTCCACAGATTCGGAAAGTACTCCTCGAGACCTTTCATTTGTGCCCAGCCTCGACACCGCTTCATTTTTAGTTTCTGTTCTGTGGATGCTTCTATCTGCAATTTTCATAAAATTGAGCGATAATTCTTAAGAAAATGCAAAAAATTCCTAAGTCTGAAATTCTTTTTGACTATAAGCTCCACAGATTCGGAAAGTACTCCTCGAGACCTTTCATTTGTGCCCAGCCTCGACACCGCTTCATTTTTAGTTTCTGTTCTGTGGACGCTTTTATCTGCAATTTCCATAAAATTGAGCGATAATTCTTAAGAAAATGCAAAAAATTCCTAAGTCTGAAATTCTTTTTGACTATAAGGTCCACAGATTCGGAAAGAACTCCTCGAGACCTTTCATTTGTGCCTAGCCTCGACACCGCTTCATTTTTAGTTTCTGTTCTGTGGATGCTTCTATCTGCAATTTTCATAAAAATGAGCGATAATTCTTCAGAAAATGCAAAAAACTCCTAAGTCTGAAATTCTTTTTGACTATAAGGTCCACAGATTCGGAAAGAACTCCTCGAGACCTTTCATTTGTGCCTAGCCTCGACACCGCTTCATTTTTAGTTTCTGTTCTGTGGATGCTTCTATCTGCAATTTTCATAAAATTGAGCGATAATTCTTCAGAAAATGCAAAAAACTCCTAAGTCTGAAATTCTTTTTGACTATAAGGTCCACAGATTCGGAAAGTACTCCTCGAGACCTTTCATTTGTGCCCAGCCTCTACACCGCTTCATTTTTAGCTTCTGTTCTGTGGAAGCTTTTATCTGCAATTTACATAAAATTGAGCGATAATTCTTCAGAAAATGCAAAAAACTCCTAAGTCTGAAATTCTTTTTGACTATAAGGTCCACAGATTCGGAAAGTACTCCTCGAGACCTTTCATTTGTGCCCAGCCTCGACGCCGCTTCATTTTTAGTTTCTGTTCTGTGAACACTTTCATCTGCAATTTCCCTAAAATTTTGCGATAATTCCTCAGAAAATGCAAAAAATTCCTAAGTCTGAAATTCTTTTTGACCATAAGGTCCACAGATTCGGAAAGTACTCCTCGAGACCTTTCATTTGTGCCTAGCCTCGACACCGCTTCATTTTTAGTTTCTGTTCTGTGGATGCTTCTATCTGCAATTTTCATAAAATTGAGCGATAATTCTTCAGAAAATGCAAAAAACTCCTAAGTCTGAAATTCTTTTTGACTATAAGGTCCACAGATTCGGAAAGTACTCCTCGAGACCTTTCATTTTTGCCCAGCCTCGACACCGCTTCATTTTTAGTTTCTGTTCTGTGGATGCTTCTATCTGCAATTTTCATAAAATTGAGCGATAATTCTTCAGAAAATGCAAAAAACTCCTAAGTCTGAAATTCTTTTTGATTATAAGGTCCACAGATTCGGAAAGTACTCCTCGAGACCTTTCATTTGTGCCCAGCCTCGACACCGCTTCATTTTTAGTTTCTGTTCTGTGAACACTTTCATCTGCAATTTCCCTAAAATTTTGCGATAATTCCTCAGAAAATGCAAAAAATTCGTAAGTCTGAAATTCTTTTTGACCATAAGGTCCACAGATTCGGAAAGTACTCCTCGAGATCTTTCCTTTGTGCCCAGCCTCGACACCGCTTCATTTTTAGTTTCTGTTCTGTGGATGCTTCTATCTGCAATTTTCATAAAAATGAGCGATAATTCTTCAGAAAATGCAAAAAACTCCAAAGTCTGAAATTCTTTTTGACTATAAGGTCCACAGATTCGGAAAGTACTCCTCGAGACCTTTCATTTGTGCCTAGCCTCGACACCGCTTCATTTTTAGTTTCTGTTCTGTGGATGCTTCTATCTGCAATTTTCATAAAATTGAGCGATAATTCTTCAGAAAATGCAAAAAACTCCTAAGTCTGAAATTCTTTTTGACTATAAGGTCCACAGATTCGGAAAGTACTCCTCGAGACCTTTCATTTGTGCCCAGCCTCTACACCGCTTCATTTTTAGCTTCTGTTCTGTGGACGCTTTTATCTGCAATTTACACAAAATTGAGCGATAATTCTTCAGAAAATGCAAAAAACTCCTAAGTCTGAAATTCTTTTTGACTATAAGGTCCATAGATTCGGAAAGTACTCCTCGAGACCTTTCATTTGTGCCCAGCCTCGACACCGCTTCATTTTTAGTTTCTGTTCTGTGAACACTTTCATCTGCAATTTCCCTAAAATTTTGCGATAATTCCTCAGAAAATGCAAAAAATTCCTAATTCTGAAATTCTTTTTGACTATAAGGTCCACAGATTCGGAAAGTACTCCTCGAGATCTTTCCTTTGTGCCCAGCCTCGACACCGCTTCATTTTTAAATATTTTATTCTCGATTTAAATGTAGAGTTAAGGGTTTCAAAGTTTTTCAACGTAAATTTTAATTAGGTTTTTATTTAGCGATTTGATTTTAAATTTGAAATTTGTAGGGAAAATTATGAAATTTGATGAAAACTAATATAATTTAGTTTACCTTTAATTTTCTCTGGTTTACTACTCCCTCTCTCTATCTCTTCCTCTCTCTCTCTCTCTCTCTCTCTTAATTAACCCTTTGTGAACCGGAGAAAAAATCACCTTGGTTTGTGTCTTTGCTAATTAAATTTAAATTTATCTTGACGGACATAAGAAGTAGTTGGTAGTAAACGCTGTTAAAATACTGTGGGAATTTTGAATTTTATTATGTTGCTATCGAACAAACCTTATATCTTGTCTAGCACCATCTGGTGGCAATAGGTTACACTTAACTGAGGTATAAAACTACACTGAGTGGTGAATAAAGAAAAACTTTGGTTGGTGTCTGGACTGTATATCAAGCATTGCCAGATATAAAGTACAATATACAGGCATGTCACAGAATGTAAAATCGTTCAAGAGTGAAAACGAAAACGGTTTTAGCTTCTCTAAAAAACGGAAAACGCAAAAATTTTGCGTTTTGATATCACTTTCAAAAAGCAGGGTGAAATTGAAATGTTTAGTGATTTTAACGTAAAAAATAAACAGAAGACATATACATTTTACAGAAAATATTGTATTAACCAAATTCTCTTAGAATGAACATGTTTTTCGAATTTATTTTACAAAAAATCTATTATTTTTCTAATCCATGATGAAAAATAATAAAAAGGACTTGCGAGGAACTGGTGGTGGTGATATCAATCAATATGTTTTCAGTGAACACGAGAACAGTTTAATCAGAATTTGCGGATTGTATAAAAGTGTCGATGGAGTTGGTGGTGCAGTAAGCTTTGCGGATTTTGTAAGTGAATTAGACCTCAGTTGTTCTGAAAAAGAAAACTTTGATTCGTCATCATCTACACATATTCCAAGAACTCGAAAAACAAGTCAATTAGTTTTAAGTGAATCTGAAAACGAAGAGCTTAATTTTTCACCCTAAACTTCAAAGCAGACCACTTCGATTTTAAATAAAAAAGATAGACCAAGATCATGCATTCCAGCTGCTTTTAAAAATGTTTCTACATTGGCAATTGATCCAAGAACACCAACATTGGAAGAAAACCGTTCGCGAACACCTATTCAAAAACGACTTAGAAATAAAAGCTTATCGTGTTCTCCGCCATCTACACCAATAAGACAAGTGTCGGGCAGCCTAACAAAAGCAAAACCCACGCCTGCAGTAAAAAGACCCCGGGCAAGAACTCCCTCAAAGCAAGATCTAAATGCGCTTTTAGTTGAGGAAAATTCTCATTTACAAAACTTGGAAAAAATTTGTAAAATTCTAGAAGATAACAGTAAGGAAATGAAAAAACAAACTGAAAAGTTGGACAGACTTTGTAACATCCTGGAAAAAAAGTATGTGGAAGAGCAGTTACATAATATTGAAATGCAAAAGAGAATGCGTGAACGGAACGAAATGAAACTCAAAATAGTTGAACTTGAAACTCTTAAATATGCTGTAGAACAGGAAAAAGCAAATACGACTCGTTCTTAACTTTACATTATTTTACACAATGGACTAAAAATGGTGGATCCTTACTCTGCATTTGAGTGAGATAAAGGATCTGATGCGTTCCTCAATGTCCGGCGACGAATTTTTTCAGTAGACCGCTGATTTATTTCTTCATCCATTACAGCAAGTATTGAAGCCCCTGGCATTTTTACTTTTGGTGTTTATATTATAAAAAACAATTTAAACTCTTTTTTTAATTGTCAATAATTTGTTTACGACCTTTTTTGCATGGAGTTACCATATTTTTATTTCAAAAATGTGAAATGATTTTTTTTTCGGTTTAGTCAATACGTACGAGTGCTGAAGAAGCAAAAGCAAATCGTAACGATTTGGAAAAGGTGAAATAAATCGATTTCGTAAAACTTCTGTGACATGCCTGATAATCAGAGAATTGACCGAAGAAGACGGTGTTGCTTTGAAATATTTTTGGAAAATTTGGTTACTTCATTTTCTAGCATTTTGGCTGCTTGAGGAATAATTATTCCTATTCCGAAGAAAAAACAAAAAAAGTTTAATTTATCTGTCTGCTACTCACCTCTTCGGAAAGTGGTTCCAAACCACCTGCTGCTGGCTCATCGGTTTTTTGATGTTTGAGAATTAGCTTTTTGGCCTTGTCACGCAACTCCTTGGGATGTGGGGTGTTTTGTCGGGTAAATGTTGAATCCTTTTCGTGAGTTGGTACATCGGGATTGAACTTAACCGAATGTGTACGCGATTGTTCACGTTCTTCCCAGCCCTCGGAGTCTGATTCCAATTCACGTGCTGTGTGCAGGATGATATCGTAGATGAAAAAGAAAGGGGGAAAACAAAAGTACATAAATTAAAAATAATTCATTTGATATTGAATACAGTAATTCTGCGAAATACATACAAAACAAATATAAAACAAGGTAATGCGAAAAACAACAACAAAAACGATTACGTTTCAACATTGGTTATTCATTTTGTCCGAGCTTTTCTCAAATATTTACAAACCAAAAGTAAAATATGTTTAGCATGCAAAGTACTTAACTTATATTTGCATATACTCGATGTATATGTGGGTATATATATGTATATATATATTTATTCTATGTAAGTATGTATGTTATAAATATTCTTAACTGTATGACCAGATATGAAGGTTAGTAATGGTGGTATGTATGCCATAGCAAATAAATAATATGGTTATATTACACTGAGCGAAATTCGTGTAGGGACAACGGAGAGATCCGAACTGAGTGACTAAATATTGTTTTTCCATGGGCAATTTCGTTTCCAATTGAGGAGTGGACAATTTTTTCGTATGAGTGAAATACAGGGCTAGATAAAAAAAACTGCAACCAACTTCAGACTGCTACCATTTCTGAGCGACTAGTCCGATAGATGTTAAAATAACTCCAGTGACGGCTCATTATATTGTTTACAAGCGTACAAAAGCATTTTGGTGTGAATTTTCCAGAAAAACAGTTATTCGTGATGGAATTCAAGAGTGATAGTGTGATTTCTTTATATTTATCTGAAAAACCACAAGTGGCTATCGTTGGAGCACTCCAGCATTTAAATGTGAATAAATCTTTTGTGTCTCGTACCATTGCTCGTTTCCGTGATACTGGTAGCGTAGCCCGACATCAAGGAATAGGACGGAAGAAAAAAACAGCAGCATCAGCAGAAATGCTTCGAAAAGTAACGAAGCGACTTTATCGAAACCAGCGTCGCAGTGGCCGAAAAATGGCTCGTGAGCTGAACATATCGCAATATTCCATTCGGCAAATATTGAAAAATGAGCTCGGGGTAAAGCCATTGAAATTCCAAAAAGTGAAAGAACTTACACCGCAACAGAAAGAAAATAAACTCAGAAGAGCAAGAGTTGCTTCGCTTGGCCGAAAGTGGCGAACTGCCGAATTTGGTTTTCTCCGATGAGAAAACATTCGTTGTTTAGCAGTTTGTAAACAAACAAAATGATCGTCTTTACTTGCCAAAGAGGTCAGCTGAAAATGTGCACCTTCGGTTGGCCACTGGAACTCAAGCGCCGGCCATGGTGATGGTGTGGACCGCCATAAGAGCCGATGGTCGCTCTCCGCTCGTATTAATCGACCTTGGCATCTAAATGAATGCCGAATATTATCGCCAAAATATTCAGGAGGGTGTATTAAAGACTTGGGCACACAAATATTTTAACAGGACTCAGAACCATCGCACTCAGCACGCGCCACACAAGAATGGTTACAAAATGAGGTTCTTCGCTTCATTTTCAGCACACAATGGCCACCAAAATCTCCGGATACCAATCCGTTGGACTATTGTGTCTGGAGTATTTTGAAAACCAAGGTTGGCACTAAAAAATACCAATGTGTCGATCATCTCAAGCAAGCGCTTTGCCGGGAATGGGCTAAAATACCGCAGAGCAACATTCGGGCAGCGTGTGACAGTTTCATTGGCCGTTTGAAGGCCATAATTCGTGCCAAAGGTGACCAATTCGAACAAATCTAAAGTTATCCCAAAATTTGATGTTATTTCCGACATGTTTTGCTTTCATTCAATAAAATCAAAAAAAAAAAAAATGTAAAAATCATGGCGTTTGACTTTGTTGCAGTTTTTTTAATCTCACCCTGTAGTTATGACAAGTACATACCATTACCAGTAAGCTACAAAAATTTCCAAGGAGAAGTAGATAAGTAATGGTGGCACATAGCCTGCACATTCGGCTATAAAACTTAAGGTCCAAATCTCATTTTCAACAATGAATACCAATTACAAAAGGACCTCTAGTTTTTCAAAACAAAAAATGCATTGAAACTCTAATTAAACTGATAGTCCATAGAAAATATTGTTTTGTGATTATTTCATGCAAATTTTGACCGCGACTACGCCTAAAATTGTCCATCCACTAACTTAAATTTTGATATAGTCTTCCCAACATTTCGGTCAGTATCTCACGAATAAATGATTCAATGTTGTCTGTACAGACATGACAAAAACTAGTCTTAAACAGTGTTTCCAAAAAGATAATAGCTAAAACTTTTATAAGTTTCCACATGCCAATCTAAACGTCGTTAAGACTCTCTTAACGATTTTTGGAAACTGAAACATTTCGAAACGGCAATCTAATTTTTTTTATCTTAATTTGGCCTAACTTTCCTTGCAAAAACATAATTTCAGCAAACCACGTTAAATAAACTATGTTTTTTTTTTTCGATCCATTAATAGTCAATAATTATTTATAACCGCAAGTCATAATTTAAAATTGCTATTGACATCTTTTTGGCCTTTTAAGTTTTAAATTATTAAAATGTATGTAAATTCAATTAAATAAAAATTCATTAACTACGACTATACATAGATGACAAATACGGTGGACAGCTGAACAATTCTACGTTTTAATGTGAGTTGAGAAAAAAAAATATTGAAAAAAACTACAGCGACAACAACTTGTTATAAACCGCAAAGTAAACTTTTGAGAAAAAAACTTAAACCGAGTGTATAATAAGAATGATGACCGACGACATTGATTGTTGAACGGTTGGCGGAGGGTATGAAATGTAATTATGACAACGACGATGATGATTATGACGATGACGCAGACAAACGCCAAGTAAGGAGCTCTTATATTTTTATAGACGAACCGTCAACCGCCACACATTTTGGCTAGACCCGACCAGACCAGACCGACGTTTACTGTTTCTGACCCCTAATTGGATAATATCCCACCCGAACATATTTATTTGTTTGTTTATTTTTTTAAGCAAAAATATGCCAACCTTTTTGTGCCGTTAATGATGGTTGTTGGGAGATGAATATTAAATGACCTCGAAATTGAATTAACTTCAGGTCGTACCTAATAGCGGAATAAGAGAAGGAAGATCGGAAAAAATACATTTGACGTTCGTTGATGGCACATTGTTATGGAAATATAACTTCAAGATCGATTTTGGAATATTGGAAATAGAATTGATTAGAAACTAGTTTAGTGGGTATTTAAAATAATTTCCTATAGGCATATAAATAATGCGATTCGAATGAGAAGTGTGAGAAAAAATGTTGAGAATATTTGAACAATTAAGTTGTTCTTTTGTCTTTATATTCTAAAAAAATTAAAAAACAAAAAAAAATATTTCCATCATTATGTCAAAAAAAAAAAAAATAAATAAATAAAAATAAATGGTATCTGACGTTAGTCAAGTTTTCAAGATTCTTCATCAAATTTAAGGCCAAAACGAAAGGGAATCAAACAAATTAAAAAGAATCTGTCGGTTCAGAGGACAGATGTATACCCTCACTGATTTTTGGTTATTTAAAAATATTTTTACTCCTGTTATGATGAAATGGAGTAGTTTCCGAAGGAATGGGCCAAAATTGTCCATTTTGTATCGGACCTAAATAAATATGATATACATATTGCGGCGCGCAGGAGGTTTGGACTATAACGGTTACTCCCTTCAATTTATATGAGATGAGGTATGTGCGTGAGGTACCAGATCGTGAGGTATAGACCGAAGTATTCCGTTTTCATACTTCATCTAATACAGATAAAAATATTGGTATGGGCAAAATTACAAGAAAATCTAACAATTTAAATGAAATTTTATGCGCAACCATAAATTCCACATTCATCTCAAGTTTTTGATTGAGAGAAATATTAAGATATAGAAAGAATTTTGACCCTTTGTGGGTAAGGTACCAGAAGGGGTTCGCAGATACATATCATCTTCAGAAAAGACCTTGTGTAAGCAAATATGTTTGTGTGTGAAATTTGAAGAGAGTTGGATGCTTATTCCGCTTCTGATCTCTACAATATTTGTAACAGATCTTGTGTTTTGATGGAAATATTGAGATGTACCAAGTCTGAATGGAATCGGATGTTAATTTGGTTTTTAATGAGTTTCATGGATATTCAAAATGTTGACCCTTTGTGGGGGAGGTACTAGAAGGAGTGGTCCGATACATTCCATCTTCGCATCAAATCTAGTGTTAGTAAAAATAATGAGATGTATGGAATATGAAGAAAACCGGATGCTTATTTCGGATTTCAAAACTTTGACCCTTTATGGGGGAGGTACTTGATGGAGTGGACCGTTGCTGTCCTTTTTCGCACCTAACCTAGCACTAATGCTCATATCAGGATTTGGAGAGTTGGAGCAAATCGCTTTATCGTTTCTCTTTCTGTGCAGTAAAATATTTATTTATTTATACTTTTTTTTTTTTTTGTATGAAAATGTCGACCTTTTTTGGGGGAGGTATCAGAAGGAGTAGACCGATATATTCCATCTTAACACCAGACTTTTAATAAAATATTGGGATGTGTGAAATTTAAAGATAATTGGACTCTTACATTACTTACATCACATTTTTAATTTTTCAAAATTTTGATCCTTTGTGGGAGAGGTACTTGATAGAGTGGACCGATATTGTCCATTTTCACACCTGACCTAGCACTGATGCAAATATTAAGATTTGCAAAGTTGGAGCAAACTGGGATTATCCTTTCTCTTTCCGTGCTGAAAATATATATACTTTTTCGACCTTTTGTGGGGGAGGTACCAAAAGGAGTGGACCGATATTGTTCATCTTTAAAATCTGACTACCATAAACCTAATTTAATACTATTTATTTTTAAACTTTATTTAAGCGAATGATCGGAATTAATATTTTAATTGCAGGTTCTAAGGCTTGTAATTAAAAAAAAAATATTCTAAAATTTTTGCAAAAATTTTCGTCCATATATTGATTAAAACGCTTGTCTATATTTGGAATTCAATTATTAGTATATTAACATTTCTTAT